CCTCGGCCCGCCCTCGCAGCGACACGTCGCGCGCCCCGCCCCCGGCCCGCCCCAGAACGGCGCTCCGCCCTCTCCCGCTCTCCGCTGAGGACCCGCCACCTTCCGTCCCCGGGGCGGGTTTTTGGAGGTAAATTGAGGGCGACGAGGAGGCCGTGGCTGGCACAAGGGGCGCAAGAAGGGAGACAAGGCCGGGCCTGCCGCCCAGTCTGAGGTGCAGGAGGAAGGGGAGCAAGCCGGGGCCCGCGCTGGTAATCTCTGCTTCCTCTCCGATGACCCGAGGCCTTTCCTTGCGTTACCGCCATTTCCTCCCCCTAAATCAAAAGCCTCCACTACCCTGCTGGTTCCCCGCCTATTCTGGTTCACAAACTTATTTCAGACACTGATGCAAACTGTGAATCGTTTTCGCAGAAAAATATGCCACCACACACGAGCACGAGATTCTGCGTCAAATTTCAATAGATTCGTTACATTCTGTTCAAATCAGGGCTCCATGATAGAACCAGCATGTCCCCAACTCTTTTGCCCATTCAGATATAAGTCAAGGACTACATTCTGAACATAAATATACATAGTCATATATATGGCTCCCATTTATTGAGTACTTGCATCCTTTCAACAATCCCTCGAGGTTTCCTACCAGTCCCCGGCTTAAAGAGGTCAAATAGCTTTTGCTCTTGCTAAAAGGACAGTCACAGGAGTTAAACTCAGATCTCAGAAATAAGCTTAGGCCTTTCTTTATTCCTCTCAAATTGAGTAAGTACCAGTATTTGGAAGTCCTTATTCTGCTGCAATAAAACTGAGGAATAGGATGCCCCTAATAGTGGTTCGGCGAGGGGGTAATTTGCAAGGAGGGGACTAAGATGGTTGAACAAGTACTTCTTATCCCATTGTGATGCCCACACCCCTTCCTGTGCTAAATAAACTTTCTTACCGAAATAATGCTTCAGATAATGCAGCAGCAGCAGCAGCAGCAGTTTTCTGTTTTCCTGTAAGTTACACTCATTTACTTAGTCTAGAGAACTTTAGTTATAGTTAAATAGTAGGCTGGAGGCAACGTCTTCTGACTGAGCTTGGTAATTTCTCTTTACAGAGGAGTCCCAGAGGTGGCAGAACTTGACCTGGGCCTTGAAGGGAAAGGATTTGGGGAAAGGCGACACGGGGCATTCCAGAGGAGAGAAACATATGCCAGAGGGCTCCAGGAGTGGTCATTGTTGTTCATTTGGTGAACAATCAGAAATGAAATAGGTAAGTGATTCAGTGTCGGATTCCGGAGGGGAGTTTAGACTTCATGAGGTAAACTACAGTGTGAATTGAGTGATGCTGCGGGTCACTAATCCCTATGAGAAGTTATGGAAATGTTTTTAAGAGTGATTAGTCTGGCAGTTAACACTGTTTGGATGGGAGATCTTGGGGGGAGGATAGAAAGGAAGAAGTGGAAAAGAACAATATATTGCCATATTTTTCTTATCCCTTACAGGAGGTTTTTGGGAAATTTAAATATGAGTTACTTCTGGTCAAGCAGAGACAGGCAAAGAGACTGAAGTAGGAAAAAAAAGAAAATTCGCTCAGTTATTATATTTAATTTCTTAAGGTGTTGTGCATCTGGGAAGCAAACTTATATAATAACAGATCTGTAAATGAATTTTAGTCACATACTTTATGATGAATACTTTAGCAGTGGGAGAAGTTGTATACATGTATTCCAAGAGACCAGAAAAGGGAATATATTAAGAAAACATTGTCAAATACCAGAACATTACTAAATACTACAACTAGAATATTGCCAGAAAACACCAAATACTGATGCATTTAATCTCAGGGGAGAGGGAAGAGTTGGAGTTGGGGAATAATAATTGACGAGTGATTAGACAAAGAAAGGAAACTGGGAGAATTGGGCTAGGTAGAACCATGGCAAGGCGGGCTTCAGGTCTCTCTGGAAGCCAGTGAATATGAAGCAGGTTCCCCCAATCCAGCTGTTCCTGGGAAGGAAGCCATCAAGTGTCACAGCTGGGCAAGCCTGGGCATAAACCCAGGGAAGCCTGAGCTACTTCGGTGTGAGTCATTTCTCTGCTTTCATCCCCATTTTCCCTTCTGCCACAACAGTTGCTCTAAAAGGACTAACCCAGCCTTTTTTCTAGTTCGATCTCCTTTAGTTGTAAAATCAATATCAAACATGGTTAAATAAGCATTCTGGTGCAATGTTAAGAAATAAATAATAAAGCTCTTTAAGCCTACTCTTTTAAAATACAATAAATGTGTGTTTTTTGGAACTTAGAAACTGTTACCAAAAATAGTTAGGTTCCCTGGGTGGAAAGGAGCTTTGATATATAATTACATAAAAGAAAGACAGCACTCTTTCCTCACCAGGAATTAAAAGCATTTCTAATATGGTGACATATTCTCCCAGAGGGTAGGAGTGAGGAATATGATAGTCCCAGAACAGAATGCCACATGCTTCCTTTTGTTATTCAACCTTCCTTCTCAAATAGCCCAAGCCCCAGTTGTCTTCATATCTCACCCCGGCTGTGAAATTTTCAAGCTGGGCAATGAACATGAAGGCATGATATATACTTAACTTCTCTTTTTGCTTCTGTTGACACTCATGGTTTCCTCAAATCCAGTGAATGTTAAGATGGTTTTCCATTGTGACTCCATGACTTCCATGTATGACACACTCCCATGATCCTACCAAAATTTTTACAAAATCAGAAACATTTTTCTTAATGAGGTTTCAGTGTCACTGTGTGAACATCCACATCGTCATTCCTAGTCAGTGATTGGTTAGATGCTAGCTATGATTAAGATATGATTGCATTCTGTGTTTATTTTCTTCATTACGTAATCAGTGGACTGCTAAAAATTAATAAATTTCATAGAAGAAAGTCAGTTTCTTAATTAATTTTTTCTAAATATAGTGAATTTTTATCTGTATGCAAAGCAGATTAAAATAAACTGAATACTCAGAATCTACCAAGCAATAAGGAGCCCAATCACTTTGTATTGACAAGTTAAAGCAGTTTTTAGAAAAATTGCCCCATCTCTTAGTTCAATGAATTGATATTCCTTTCCCAGGCATATCAGTTATGAAATTTATATTGATACCTAGAATTATATTTCTGTTTCTTGGTTTATAATTTTCACGTGGGTTGAGCATAACTCTGAGAGAATAATCTTTCTTAAGTCTGTTATGGTTGATGTCAAATTTGAAATCTATGGAAAATATGCCTTTTTTTCTAACAAGGTCTTGATATTTCTACCCTCTCTTAATCTTTTAGGGTGATTCTGTTTTTCCTTTCAGGGAATATATCATTTGCCAATGAATTTGTGTTGCCTCAAAAATTTCTGCTAGAATTCAAGACAATATTTATCAACTCAATAAGTGTATAGGCATTGCCTAAGGTAATTAGGAACTTACTGTTAAATGCTTTAGTATATATTATTATTTCACTTAAAAAAACTAATGTACATATCTGTTTTCCACATAGGTAAGTTATGGCATAGATAATATTAATGAAAAGGGAAACTTTATCAGTTATCTATTTCTGTGTAAAAAACCAGCTGAAAACTTACTGGTTTAAAAAAATTTTTTTTTTCTTACAGTTCTGTGGGTTGGTTGGGAATTCTGTAGGTCTGTCCTAAACTCATTTGGGCTTACTCCTGTGCTGAATTCAGATAATGGCAGGATGACCCAAAATGGTCCACCTCACACATGTGACCGTTAGTGCTGGTTCTTGGCTGGGATGCCTTAGTTCTTCTCCACATGGCCTGTTAGCCTCTATGAGGCTAAAGTTATAGCATGACAATTTCAGGGCAGGACTCCAGATATGGTGCAAAACACTTATGAAACCTCTGTTTCCTTCACATTTGTGAATGCGGCATTGGTCTAAGCAAGTCAGATGGCCAAGCCCAGAGTCCATATGGGAGTGAGCTTAGATGGCACTCTTGATGAGAAAATGGGAAGGAATTTGTGGCTGTTTTTAATCTACAGTGGAAATTTTCCCCCTCTTCTTCTAAAAACCTACTCTTTTTCTTTTGTAAATAGCTCATAATCCCAAATTGTGAAAGTATTGACTGGCCCTCTTACCTTGTTATGGTTTACATGGAAGTAGTGTATGGAAACAAAAATCACCCA